CAGAGATACATGTTGCTTCCATCATCAGAGTGAACAGACTACACGAAGCTATAACCTATAAGACAGCTATCTTCACAATCGGCGCTGTGATAACCACAAACCCTAGTTACATTAAGCTTGTCTTTCTCCCAGATAATGTTCTTGTCTCTGCGCCGACGCAGAGGGGGGAGACCATCCAGATGAGACAGCATTTGAACGAAGATATGGACATACGAAGTAACATGAACCAGAGACGTTGTCCCCTGTTAACCAACTTCAGTGCACAGCATCCGTAAATAAGGCCAGTTCGTTGAAGTACCAACAGATATAAACTTAGAAGTCACAGTTTCAATGACGTCTCATTCAATAGCATCGCATTACTGGGACAGTTTATAGCCACAACAAAATATTTGGTGGGGCTTGGTCTTTGAAAGTGAAATAATTGACAGTGATTCACGTGAGATATTGTTAAATTTCTGAGGTATGTGAGGGGAAATAATACGAGAAGTTATATTATTTTTTTTCTAAAGACTACACAATGTGCGACACAATGCACTTAACCATTTCCAAGCAACGAACCTCTCTGTAACGTCATTAACATACCAATAAGTGTACTTTAAAGGCATAAAAGCTCGTGTTCACTTCCCTTTAAACATGAAAAGTGTTTGATACCGATGCAGCTCACTGGCTGTTCTGATAATAACAGGCTTTCATCCGTTCGCTATACTATAGAGGGGAAAAAGTACAGTACTGTAAAAGATGCTATGAAACGTCGCTAACCATGTGTTGCATCTGGCATTAATAAAGACGTACAGTATTTACTCCCCGATATAAGCAAATGTTGTGCAGGATAATCAGGTGGCAGACTTTGGTCAGATTACAAACGACAAGTGATCCAAGCTAGTCTGATTGTTAATTCTGCCATTTCTAATCGACATACTTACCACATTTCAAGTCTAATTTTTCAATGACTTGGTTGCATCATCGCTAGAATATATAAGGCAATACTTTACTTCATTAATATTAGTCATTTGTGTAAGTTAAAATATTCATTTGTTCAAATTCTGATAGCGATGGACTTACTCGTCGTGATACGAAGGGGATTTATGTTGTCGCACTATTCTCGGAGCTAGTGCGCAGGGAGTTTTGAAACACAGGGGCTGAAACACCTGAAGTCGACTTTGACGATGTCTGGCTGGTGGGTCGTGACCCTGCTCGTCGTACAGTGTTGCTGCCAGAGCTACGCCTGCCCCATAGAGTGCAAGTGCATGTGGAGAGGAGGGAAACTGACAGCGGAGTGCGTGAACGGGAGCCTCATAACCATCCCAGACGGAATAGACCAGGGCACACAGGTGCTGAATTTCCAAGGAAACAATTTGCAGATGCTTTCAAGAGAACGTTTTAAAAGAATTGGTTTGCTCAACTTACAAAAAATTTATTTGATACGGTGTCAAATCAGACATATTGACGACCGTTCCTTCCGCGGGTTAAGTAATTTGGTCGAACTCGATCTTTCAGAGAATCTCTTGACAGCCGTCCCAACAGAAACCCTCAGTGACTTCCAGTCTTTGATGAGGTTGGCAATTAATGGCAATCCTATTCGCGTCCTTAAGACCGGGTCCTTTCTACACGTGCCCGACCTAGTCACTTTGGAATTAAGCAACTGCGAGATCGAAATTATCGATGAAGACGCTTTCTCTGGGCTTGACAGCCTCGAATGGCTCAAGCTTGATGGCAATCGCTTAAACAGTGTACGTGGTGACCATACTCTGCCAGAGTCTCTCCGCGGAATTTCACTCTACCGAAATCCTTGGCAATGTGACTGCCGACTACTAGACCTACGTTCCTGGCTTCTCAATTACAAAGTCCCCCAGGCCATAGACCCCACATGTGTTGCACCTCACAGACTTAGCAATGTTCCTATAAAGACTCTTGAAGTCGAAGACCTCGCCTGTCTCCCAGATGTGACACCTACTGCCGTGTACCTTGAAATTGCCGAGGGGAGAAATGTGTCGCTATTATGTAAGGTATCAGCTGTTCCTGAAGCCAGGGTCTCGTGGTGGTTTCAAGGTCGTATCCTTCAAAATGACTCGGTGGTTGCTCCGGGACTTCACTTATACTACTTCGTGGAGGAAGGCGTGGAAGAGAAGAGAAGTGAACTTTTTATTTTTAACGCAAATCCTGAAGACAATGGAACTTTTATTTGCGTAGCTGAGAATCCTGCTGGGAAGGCACAGTCTAACTATACCATCCGTATCATCATAAAGGAAGAACCTGTTGCTGGGGAACCAATATCCCCCTATAATTATATCATCTCGATATTTACAGTTACAGCCCTTCTTGCACTCCTTGTTGTCTTGACGGTAATATTGTGCATTATGAGATGTTGTCGAGACAGAAGACGCAGGAGAATGAAGGAACGTAGCAAAGTAATGGCTTTGCAAAACCACCGTCAGCAGCAGGGCAAGATGGCAGTCATAGGTGACCCTGAAGATCGTATTACGAGGATGATTAACGTGGATACCATTGCGGATCCGGCGAAGATCAAAGGAAGAGTAGTGACAGAGAGACCCCCTCACGACATGATTCTATTGCCTGCAGGAACTGCAGAAACCATCACAGGAAGCGACAGGTCACGGCCAAGACTGGTTAATCCTTATGGAAGCCCGCCTTCATTAAGAAATTACCAGCTGGAACAGAACCCCGATCTCATAAACGACACAGAAAGTGTTGGAAAGGAGCGGAGACCATCTTGTTGGAGAGGTGACGGTGACAGTTTTGAAGAAGGCGAACGAGAAAACAGTGGCCCTAATAGCTATCAGGAAGCCATGGAAAACATAATTCATGACTTTGCAAACAACGGTTCCAAACCCATGTCATGCCCACGACACCTACTAAGGGACTCTATCCACGTGTCAACGCTTCCAAGGGGTAGGTCTCGAGAAGTTTATCACCATCATACAGCTGACGTCCATCTATCTCCAGGTCGATTCCTGGATGGCGATGAGTACCCTATGGACTGCGGTGTGCAGAATTTACCATCTCATATGTCAGTACACTCGACACCGCCAAACGCTGAGCTCTACAGAACCTTTCCACACAATCGACCCAACAGACTGGACCCAACTTCTCTGTGTAACACGTATTCTAGAGAAGCAAAACTTTTAGGTTGGTCGCTGCAACCTTCGACGCCCTACGAACAGTACGAACTATCTGATGTACGATATACTGTAGAAGGCTACCCTTGTACCCCTCTCCCTCCGCAAACAGCGTCAAAAGAAACACAGTTTAATCGGACGTATTCTGACGAGTCCAGTGGATCGCTTCCAAACAACAGTTATTTGCCTTCTCCACCTGCAGCCTACAAGTGTGAACCGACTGTACCAACACCGTCTTTATCAATGACCAGCCCTTCGAGTCTCACGACGCCTCCTACAGAAAATGTGCCGTGGCCTGACGTGGCGCACAACTGCCACGTTCAAGCACCAATTGCAGTCAATAAGAATGCACATGGCCAAGAGCCTTCGCTTACCACCTTCACCCTCACACAGAGCCCTGATGAGGGGTTTGAGGGTGAAGATATGGAGGGGACAGAAATCAGTCATCAGAAGGCACTCCAGGGGGTACCCAGGATTGAAGAGGAGATTCGAGAAAATTCTGTGGTGGGAGACATTACTAAAGAAATTCAATGGAAATTTCCTGATCCCGTTGTCAGTACGAAAGATTTGAAGCCTGAGTCACATCAAGACACTGTGTAGTGACCTTCTGCACATCTCAGGATCTGTTAAAGTACAGAATATGTGTATTTTATAAAATGAGACAGTACTTCAGAAAGGAATGTAAATTAGAGAATGAAGTATGAGTATTGTTAAGAGAAGAAATTTTATTCGTATGATTTTTATTAAATTCAATTCATTTGTTGAGCGTGATAATATAAAATTACACCACAATATTTCTGAAGTTGCTGAATATCATTTCCCATCCACTGATAGTGTTTTGATTTGTAAATTTCGTGTTTTGTGCTCTTTATGTACGAAATTTCCCGAAATTAATTTGCGTGTGGCTTAATGAAGAACAAGTATAATATATTTTAAATGCGTCAAAAGTAAATATATATGTTTGTCACGCTGCTGAAATCATTCAACAAGACAAGATGAGAGAATAAGAAATATGGATGTTATTGTTAACTGTAGAAGTGAAAATGATATTTTCTACGACATGTTTCATAACAGCAGAATCAACAACAGAGGAGTCTGATATAATTTCTGAATATGATTGCTTAAGATCTGAAGAGAAACAAATGCCTCAGTACATTTTAAGATTTGTTTCGCCATTTAGAAGTCTTTGTTTTGCGTATGATTATTAGTGGCTGAATGTGTTTCTTGGTGAACGATACTGAAAGAGTAGTATGTAATGAGAATAGACAATGATACTGGAAAAAGGTTGTTATAGGATATTTCACAGCATGTATACTGACGGTTGATTTTATATTTAATGAAAGATTTAAAATGGAAGTGGTCGTGTGGTGAGAAGTGAGTTCGAAACGGAAGTGCATGTCCAGACGCTATTCGTACTGGATAATAATTTAATGATCTGTCAGTTTCAGTACATTTATCCTCTTCTCAGAATTTCAAGACCATGAATTATTTTATTTATTTATTTTGTTTTTTAAAAGTAAATATGAGTGTCAAATTAGTATAGGTACTATATTTATTTATTTATGCAGTAATTATTATAACATTTTTGTGACTCTGAGTCTCAGTGTAGTCGATATTTTATTTCAAAACCATACAGGGTAATCCTCATACAACTGTTGAAGGTAAAGAAGTTATTTTATGTACTGTTGTCATCTGTCGTCTGAAGACATTCACATCGTCAATTTCTGTGTAATAAATCCATGGAGATTTGAGGAACAGTGTTTGCATTTTCACGGGCTAAAAACACCCTGTATGATATAGAAATTGTCTGCACTGTGATTTTATGTGATTTATCCCTCACGTAAAATAAAGGAAGAATAATATGCAAGATGGGGTAAAATTAAATACACTGTCTATTAAGGTTAATACTGTGCATGGAACTAATGATGTTCACATGATTGGTGCTCCGTATTTATTTTGCAATAAAGAAGAGAAGATCATGAACACTCTACCACGAGTACAATTGTGGGCGTGTACATTCCTCTTAACCTTTGCATTACCTGAAACAAGGATCAAGAAGCTACTTCCCAAAAGTGTGCCCTGAACACTGGTACTTGATACATGGAATGTTTAATATTACTTGCACAGACTTTGAATTATCCTACACTTCAGAATATATGTTAGAGAAATTTACGAAGAATAAGAGGTAACCAAGCCATCACTGCAGATAAATTCTTGTCAAGGAATAATTAAATAAAAATGAGAGAGCATTAAAGAGAGAAAAATCAATTTGATTCTGGATCGTTCTCGATAACCAACATAAAAGTATTTTCGAAAATGAAGACTGGGGAATAATATTCGAATAAGGATGCATAAAACACTGCAGTAATTCCGACCCACAGTTTTGTTGTATAATTTCGTAACACACTGGCACCACTTCAGTGGTGCAAGATGAAACACCATTCACATTCCTTAGGAAATAGCTTTGAACAGGGATATATTTATAATTCTTACGACTGCAAGTGTCACTTGGTAGTGCTTCAGTAAATGACATATTTTATAATAATTTTTTAATGTTTTGCCAGTAAATTAACAACATTACTGTCTTTTATGAAAACTGTCTAAAATTGAGGTGTTTGAAATTCAGACACTCACTTTTCAAATAAACTTTAGAGTATATAATAAATAAGTCAAGTACTTGCAAGCAAAAAGCAACTTTTTAACAAATACTTCTATTATTTGTGTTATAAAGCACGTGATATGAAAGGATACAAAATTTTAGAGTACATTTTAATTTAATTTAGGCATACATATTTTATTATTTACGTGAAATTATTCTGTGAAAATTCATTTGTTATTTTTCATTTCCTTGCTTGAAACAGTGGGTCAAGACAGATATATAGCTATTTACTTGTAACAAAATTATATTTATGAGTAATTAAAGGAACCAAATACAATCAAACTCGGTTATAACGAGATTCTAGGGACCGAGGAAAAGTCTTCGTTATAACCGTTACTCGTTATGTCCGTTATCGTGCCTGAATGTTTCATACCGATACAGAAAAATTTCATTGGTTAGTTTGCCGGGTAGTTTCTCTTCCTCGGTCTTCTGAGATTCCATAACATTAGAGAAGAGAGGATTAAGAGATGGGGAAAATCAAAAAGCCCAATGTCACGTGCTCCCGCAGCTTTTGACGTGGTCTGTTCAAACGAGGCAGCGGTGTAGGAGAATCTTTCTGTCCTTCCCCAGCATGGGAACCTTTTAGATCACTATACATTGCCCTGATACCTGAGAGCCCCCGTAGGCGCTAGACACCCGCCCGGCACGCAGTGTCTGCGGGGATATCCGCTACACCACTGGAACGAGAACTATGTTCTTCGTGAGTAGAGTATAGCACTAAATGAGATTCTGAGAACGGAAATCGAACCAAACACAATATGAATGTCGACTGTAAATATCGTTAAAAGGGTTAGAAATTGCTATCGGCAGGGATGTGTAAAGAGATAAGGAGAAGAATGTCATAAGGGGGCAAAGCAATAATAGATCTTATTCCCTCCTAGGGCAGTTCAGCCACAACTCGTTATAATGTCTTAAAGATTTGCTCGTTATACCCATGATGCTCTCAACTACCGTGATCGCTTTAACCGTGAAATGTTTCTCATAAAATACATCGTTTCCAACCAAATCTTTTCTTTTTGCTCTAATAGCCTATAATTAGTTATAACTGTGCTCGTTATAAACGACTTCGACTGTATTTAACTTTAATACATATCATTAAATAAATAATTATATATTTAATGACTTTACATATTAAACAACTAATAAATGAGTGAGAAATAATTACGTGTAGATTTCTGTTTGTAGTTTCAAAGTTATATATCATTACAACAACCTCGTTTCACATACTTTACATTTAATAAAAAATAAACTGCCAGTGACACTTGTATTGGGTTGTTACACACCAAAATATTAATCTACTTAATAATTTTGGAAATAAGGGTTCAAAAGTACGATACCAAACAATAGACATTTATGAAGACATGATTGACAACAATGTTTTTAGATACTGATTGCTATAGGAGAACATGGGACATTTTTGTGATTGCTAGTGACTGTGTTTGGAAAGCAAACTGGTGTAACTCAACTGAGTAGTGTTTGCGTGTATTAACCTTTACTTTGAAAGAAACAAAACAAGCACAGTCCCCTTAATAATCCATGTAAATAAACCATAAGTATTTTATATGTGTGAAGATAACACAGTAAATCTTGCTGATGACGTATTTAAAGTAACATTAAAGTAATGGGAATAAAAATATGTGATTTGTCACTACGTGAAATTTGATATTTGTTTCACTTGATTAATTTACAGTTAAATCGATTATTTCCAAATTAATTACATCCAAATACTTATGTAATACGAACATCGTAACATAAGGTATTATTTACACATAGTGGAACTTCGTTAATTTTTTTTTGTTTCAAATGTGCTCCATAAAAATTATCAATGCTTAAATTTGCTTTAAATTCCATTATATGTGCATTAATGTTCCAATAAGAAACCAAGCGATGTCTGTACATCCTCCTGTACACCAATCGTCAACTGACAGACCTCTAGTCCCATTTGATGGTTTCATTCACAAATCTCAACATATATATTGAAATAATGAACAAGATGTTAATGATTTTGGAACAGAAAATTGCATAATTCTTTTCTATTGTTAAAACACAATGAGTGTGAAGAGAAAGTTTTACTCAATAGAGACTTATCCATATGTCTTATTGTACAGATTCTATAAAATATAGTGTTGATATATTTGGTAATAAAAATTATTAATCAAGTATTATGCCTAGTTTTTCATTTACAAAATTTGATATAATACAGTATATTCCTCCTTATATTACTCAATATTATTAGACCACTATATCATACCTATATGTATAATTACCGCGATCTATATGCGGAGGATTTTCGGTAAAACAATTGGATTTGCGTACGAAGTACCATAGGCAAGAGTTGACTGATCTATCGTAGGCAGTAATATAGACGATAATAGATATCTCCATGGATCCTCTAGTATTGGCAGGGCTACACTAGTCTATACAGTCAGTAATGTAGTGAAGAATAACTACGATAGATCAGTCAACCCTTGCCTATGGTACTTCGTACGCAAACCCAATTGTTTTACCGAAAATCCTCCGCATATAGATTGCAGTAATTCTACATTCTTTACTGACTGTATATAACCATCTGCCTTGGCCCATATCATTAACAGTAGACACTTCTGTAGCTGTCTACATATGTGGATAAAAGACCCATTTATCTATGCCTATATTTCTGGCTACATAGCCCCCTGTATTTCTGGATTGGCTTTTAATGGTCCAGTGTGGGTTTGGGCTGGCGGTGCATGAGGTCGGATGTACATCATTAGTGCTGTGCATGGGCTGGCCTTGGGTTCTGAATGAGCTGGGTAAAATTGGGTAGTGCTAGGCATGTTCTGAGCTCGGCTTCGTCTAAGCCTGTGTAGCACAGCGCAAGCCTCAACTGGTCTTGGCAAGTTGGGTTCTGCCCAGCCGGGGGGCACAGTAAATCTGAACCAGTCCTCATCACTCCATAAAAATAAGGGGGCCAAAAACTAAAATTTTTCCAAAATTTAAAAAAAAAATTTGAAGTCGGAATTTTTTTAAAAAGATTGAGCTTTGTGCGCCATTTGGATATTTTCCTAAATATTTTATAATTTTTCGAAAATTTTGAAAACATTTGATTCTTTTTAAAATGTCTTGTCACCTATGCTCTCTCCCCGACCCGTCTCTGCCGTTCTATCTCTGCCATACCGACCCTGACGAACATGGTATCTTCCTCACTCGGTCTCTCCACAATCCGGACTAAGTATGACGTGACCTCTAAAAGTCATCCGCCGCCACCCGCCACCCGCCACCCGCCAGACCGTGTGACAAGAGATCGATTCTGGTAGGTATAGGATGGGGAAATTTCCGAAAAAAATTTCTCTCTCTCTCTTCTTCCGTTTCTCGACCGTCACTTCGGTCTTCCGGTGCCTAATATTTTCTTCCACTTTTCTCCAACTTCCCATCCTTACGTGTTGTCTGCAGCACCTGGGCTCTTCAGAGACGGCACGTCGAGGAGCGTGTGAGGCAAGACCGCGTTCGTGAGAGATACAGTTCGTCAGTAACAGTCCGACAGCGACCGGCTCTGCAAGGCATCAGGTAGGTAGAATTTTGAAAAATTTGAAAAATCAAAAAATGCTGGAAAATGTCCAAAACGCGCACAAAACAAGAAATTTTTAAAAAATTCCACTTTCAAAATGTTTTTCAAAATTTTCAAAATCTTTTGGTTTTGTGCGCTTTTCAGACAATTTCCAGCATTTATTGATTTTTAGAAAATTTTGATTTTTTTTCAAAACTCTCCTCAAGCGATGCATACCAGCCTCTTCGAATGCCTCATCCTGTGTCTGACGGACTCGGCCTCTATCTCACCCGGTTGCTGTCTGCCTCGGTGTCTGCAAAAACAGGCCTCTGCATGACTCGGTATGTAAACAAAAGTGTCTGTCCGTCTCGGTCTCCGCCTTACGTGTTGTCTGCAGCACCTGGGCTCTTCAGAGACGGCA